CATACAACTAAAACAGTCATGTCCACCAGTTAGTGTACATTCTGAACATACAACTAAAACAGACATGTCCACCAGTTAGTGTACATTCTGAACATACAACTAAAACAGACATGTCCACCAGTTAGTGTACATTCTGAACATACAACTAAAACAGACATGTCCACCAGTTAGTGTACATTCTGAACATACAACTAAAACAGGAATGTCCACCAGTTAGTGTACATTCTGAACATACAACTAAAACAGACATGTCCACCAGTTAGTGTACATTCTGAACATACAACTAAAACAGGCATGTCCTCCAGTTAGTGTACATTCTGAACATACAACTAAAACAGACATGTCCACCAGTTAATGTACATTGTGAACATACGACTAAAACAGGCATGTCCACCAGTTAGTGTACATTCTGAACATACAACTAAAACAGATATCTCCACCAGTTAGTGTACATTCTGAATATACAACTAAAACAGGCATGTCCACCAGTTAGTGTACATTCTGAACATACAACTAAAACAGTCATGTCCACCAGTTAGTGTACATTCTGAACATACAACTAAAACAGACATGTCCACCAGTTAGTGTACATTCTGAACATACAACTAAAACAGACATGTCCTCCAGTTAATGTACATTCTGAACATACAACTAAAACAGTCATGTCCACCAGTTAGTGTACATTCTGAATATAAAACTAAAACAGACATGTCCACCAGTTAGTGTACATTCTGAACATACAACTAAAACAGACATGTCCACCAGTTAATGTACATTCTGAATATACAACTAAAACAGACATGTCCACCAGTTAATGTACATTCTGAACATACAACTAAAACAGACATGTCCACCAGTTAGTGTACATTCTGGAAATACAACTAAACAGACATGTCCACCAGTTAATGTACATTCTGAACATACAACTCAAACAGTCATGTCCACCAGTTAGTGTACATTCTGAATATACAACTAAAACAGATATGTCTACCAGTTAGTGTACATTCTGAACATACAACTAAAACAGGCATGTCCACCAGTTAGTGTACATTCTGAACATACAACTAAAACAGACATGTCCACCAGTTAGTGTACATTCTGAACATACAACTAAAACAGTCATGTCCACCAGTTAGTGTACATTCTGAACATACAACTAAAACAGACATGTCCACCAGTTAGTGTACATTCTGAACATACAACTAAAACAGACATGTCCACCAGTTAGTGTACATTCTGAACATACAACTAAAACAGTCATGTCCACCAGTTAGTGTACATTCTGAACATACAACTAAAACAGGCATGTCCACCAGTTAGTGTACATTCTGAACATACAACTAAAACAAGCATGTCCACCAGTTAGTGTACATTCTGAACATACAACTAAAACAGACATGTCCACCAGTTAGTGTACATTCTCAATATACAACTAAAACAGGAATGTCCACCAGTTAGTGCACATTCTGAATATACAACTAAAACATACATGTCCACCAGTTAGTGTACATTCTGAACATACAACTAAAACAGACATGTCCACCAGTTAGTGTACATTCTGAACATACAACTAAAACATACATGTCCACCAGTTAGTGTACATTCTGAACATACAACTAAAATATACATGTCATCCAGTTAGTGTACATTCTGAACATACAACTAAAACAGGCATGTCCACCAGTTAGTGTACATTCTGAATATACAACTAAAACAGATATATCCACCAGTTAGTGGACATTCTCAACATACAACTAAAACAGGCATGTCCACCAGTTAGTGTACATTCTGAACATACAACTAAAACAGACATGTCCACCAGTTAGTGTACATTCTGAACATACAACTAAAACAGTCATGTCCACCAGTTAGTGTACATTCTGAACATACAACTAAAACAAGCATGTCCACCAGTTAGTGTACATTCTGAACATACAACTAAAACAGACATGTCCACCAGTTAGTGTACATTCTGAACATACAACTAAAACAGTCATGTCCACGAGGTAGTGTACATTCTGAACATACAACTAAAACAGGCATGTCCACCAGTTAGTGTACATTCTGAACATACAACTAAAACAAGCATGTCCACCAGTTAGTGTACATTCTGAACATACAACTAAAACAGACATGTCCACCAGTTAGTGTACATTCTCAATATACAACTAAAACATACATGTCCACCAGTTAGTGTACATTCTGAACATATAACTAAAACAGACATGTCCACCAGTTAGTGTACATTCTGAATATACAACTAAAACAGTCATGTCCACCAGTTAGTGTACATTCGGAACATACAACTAAAATATACATGTCAACCAGTTAGTGTACATTCTGAACATACAACTAAAACAGGCATGTCCACCAGTTAGTGTACATTCTGAACATACAACTAAAACAGGCATGTCCACCAGTTAATGTACATTCTGAACATACAACTAAAACAGACATGTCCACAAGTTAGTGTACATTCTGAACATACAACTAAAACAGACTTGTCCGCCAGTTAGTGTACATTCTGAATATACAACTAAAACAGTCATGTCCACCAGTTAGTGTACATTCTGAACATACAACTAAAACAGTCATGTCCACCAGTTAGTGTGCATTCTGAACATATAACTAAAACAGTCATGTCCACCAGTTAGTGTACATTCTGAACATACAACTAAAACAGACATGTCCACCAGTTAGTGTGCATTCTGAACATATAACTAAAACAGTCATGTCCACCAGTTAGTGTACATTCTGAACATACAACTAAAACAGACATGTCCACCAGTTAGTGTACATTCTGAACATATAACTAAATAGCTGAAATAGAGATTATATGTACATTATTTAGTACAATAGCTGAAACAATAGCTGAAACACGGATTATACGAGCTCGCATGCACATCGTTTAGTTGTTAATCTGGACAAATAGCTGAAAAAGAGATTATACGATCTCATGTGTACATCGTTTAGTTGTTAATCTGAACCGTCAGGTGAAACAGAGATTATATGTACATTGTTTAGTTGTTAATCTGGGCAAATACAGACACGGTATGCATAATATCAATAACTGAAACAGACACGGTATGCATATCAATCAGTTGATATTCTGGACATAATGATGACACAGACATATGTACCACTGAGCTGATACTCTGGTCATGATATTGCTCAAATAGCAGTTACAATATACACCAGTCAGTGTACAATCACAGCTAAAACAGACCTGAATCAGACATTAGTTAATGATTATTTTGACAACAATACATGGTGACAACTTGTGAAATGTTCGTTTTCAAGTATCAATGATCAGTCTATATCGATATAAACGAATGAATTCGGAGATGTATTTGACAATTAGTCGGTTGTTACAAAAATATAAATGAAAAGTTTGAACTGTTATTGTAAGATAATAGTAAAACAGCTCTTTGTACTGCGGAAAACTAGAATTCTTAAAATTCGCTGTATGTTATCATAAGGTATTTATCGCTTACTCTATGTACAGTATCTCATACTAGCATCATTTCTCGTCAGATTAGCGGATTATCATCGTTTTCTTCAGTGTTTATATAGTGCTTGTGTACAAACACAAATCGGCCTTTACTTACAGCTGGCTTCACAATGTCTGCTCCAAGCCATATTACAACCTATATACACAGCTCTGAGTACAAGTTGACTGTTTAGGCACTGAACTGAACAACCGCTGTCATGTGTCAGCAAAGTGAAAAATGTGATCAGAAACACTTGTGTCTGTTGCGTACATGAGGAACTTTGTTTGTGAGAGAACTACATAACTAGACAGTGATATAACTCTATAGGATTACTCCGTCCCGTCCACACGGAGTACATTGTGTGGTCGTGTGTGGTCATTCAGAAATAATTACTGATTGCTGTTACAATGACGTAGGAGAAAGAAAGATCGAAATGCGTAAGTCGTAAGTTGATGTTAAAGTATGGGTGTTACGATTGCGCTACGACAACTTTGTCTAACCGACATCTGAACTTTCACTCTTACATATTCAACGAACTACACTGTTTACATTGACCCCATGTGTAATGCCAGTGTGACACAAACAACTGTTCCAATAACCAGTAGAGACGCATTATTGTACATGTTCAACACAATGTGTCGCCGACATCCATGTATTGATGTTGAATTATAAACGGACGGACGGTGTATATATGCATAGATCTCGGACAGGGCTGTAATATTGTTTTATGCCATCGTCAGCAGCATTTCAGGTAGGTGCACCTGAGCCATCGGTGACCTATTGCATATGGGTATGACGATCATACGCTGTCAGTCAAGTAACCTATGGTAACCACGAGCCGGGCTCTAGCGACAAACATGGGGTACTGAGGAACCTGATTCATGTCTGAAATTTCCAAAATATAGCAGTGCTTTAGTCCAGATATATATCAGTTGAATACAGTAATAGGCAGTTTCTACAAATTGTGTATGAAATGTTTACAACAAATGTATACTTTAGACATAACTTACTGTAAAAAGAAGCGGCAAACACATTGCCATTTTCACAAGAAACCTCTACTAAAAGGGGAGTTTATTGTATGATTCCGATGATAGCATAGGCAGGTGTCTAGGATCACTAATTGTCGCAAAAATCAAATACATAAAAGTATTTTTGCCACTCTATATTCATATTTTGCAACCCAGTTTTGTACAAATAGCAAAGTGTGATAGATGCCTATATACATTCAATTGTCAATAGACAGGTAGCGAAGGATATTGTTGAACCTGTAATGAATCAGTAATATTGCAATAGGGACATTAAGAATAGTCTCAGTTGAACACTGGGTGGAATGGCACCACGGTCGAGCAAGACGGATGAACGTTATAAGCACCCTACCTTTTAGGATAACCAACACTACTGGGCAAAACAAACTTCCCCTCGCTCGCCGATTATTGTAAGTGTAGTTCAGTCATTTTAACACGAACTGTTTATGTGAACTGAATAATGAATAATTAAAATGCTACTCACCTTTGGCCCTAATATAAGCAGTAAAACAACGGTGACTGTAAGCTGACAGCGCAGAAAGGACATGAGGAACATATAGTCGGGGTGAAGGGTATACCACCACAGATGCCTGCAACAGAACAACATGGTCAGTCTACAGTTCACAGTGACTCAGTTAGTGTGGGTAAACGCCGCTTGTCAACAGCGCCTTAGTTTTATCGGGGTCTGATACCTTGCTTGAAAACCATGGCCCCGTTCCTCAAAACGACCGTAACCCTAAGGTGGTAGTAACTCCCATACTTTAACATAGACGACAGTGTAGCTCTTCGTTCGCTTTGAGGAATGGGGCTTAAGATTAGTAGGGTTCTCGATGGATGTCCCTTTGCTCAAATCTCAAGTAGAGGTAGGGTTTGGGCGAACTAACAATTGTTACCAGGTCAAATCCCTACCCACGATCATCGGATTCACCTCGGGAGCAACTCTTCTCGGCAATGTATTAGCAACTGATGTCCCCTTATATTTCAGGAAGGTAATGGGTTCGTCATAAGGTTTACATTTCGCATGATGACGGTGCCCCATAGCTAACGTATGTCCAGTTTCTATCAAAAGTGTAACACAATTACTCTATTTTGGAACGGTTTGACTTTAACACTTAGTGTCGTCAATCGTACATGAAGGAGAAGCACGGAGGCCGATATCGGGTGCGAGTATGTGCTGCCAACTCAATTAAGTGGTTCCTGGCAAGAATATTTGAATAGAAAAATAAAACATTCAATACTTACTTAAGTATATAAAATATAGTAGAGAAGAAAGCTTCATAGCAGATGGCTACCGAGATACACCTTCTCTCAGAGTAGTCCGAGGGGGCAGATCGCACGCAGTAACAGAGGTAGACACCAAAACACAGGAACAGAAACTCAGCTGAAACACAGAACACCTACATTGTTGGAAATCACAGAACGTTATTGTGTGACACTGTTCATTCGGAACCCCATAATCGCCGATGAATTAACGTCATCATGACGCTTATAAGATTTGCTCCTGTTTGTCCAAGACCATGTCAGGGACCTGGGACCCGATCAACAAAACCTTCACAGCACGATGCCAATCGTAAGCCTATGATAAAGTATAGTGTTACGATAGGTCGTAACGTTACAAACGCTTTATGGATCGGACCCTGCCCCGCCATTCGCACGGTAACACTTAAGGCGTTTAATGTAAAACTACTGCAAGCCCTCGCTGAAAGATGACTTAACGTGTTTCAATTCAGAAAAGACATAACAGTTTCTTGTTCACACGCGATGAAAGGTAACAGAATAAGATTTATTGTCATGAAAAACCTGAGGTGCTTTGAAGATATTACGCCCACGTAGTACTAATACACTATGTGCTATAACGTAAGTCATTACTACATTACTCCAGAGCGTGTCACGTCCGATAATGAGGTAGGATTGTTGTGAGGGTAATAGTGTGTGGATTAGTGCACGCTATAGTTATCATGATACTCGCTATAACTTAAAGGTACATGACATTATTGTAATGTATACTTAATGCCTTTATGTTAACAATGGTATAAATGATACATATATACGTATATATGATTACGGAAATTGACTTATCCTTGTGGTCAAACAATGTGGTCGAATTTCTTTTCATATTAAATTTAATCTTATTTTTCGTAATATTAATATTACTGCTGCTGCTAGACTTATTCTAATCAAACCTATTGTATTATCGTATTTGATGCAGTGAGTAGGTTTGACTAAATGAATGGTATTTTACGCCACTGTTAACAATATTCCGGCAGAAACACAAATGACTGGAGTATAGAAAAACGATGCTTGACATCCGGATGCGAAGACACGAAATAAGCCAAGTGAGTTTGACCACCCGATAACGCTCAGTCGTCTCTCACGATCCTCATAGCAAACTTTCTCTCTCGTATCGGATACACGCACTGCAAAGGTGACGTCACATAGTCCTTGGTGACTTACAAAGCTCTATGACGTAATCCCACCAATGTGACTTGCACATGGTGTATGTGAGTTGGTCCTCTGTCTTGCCCACGGCCAGGAGTGTGGCGTTCTCGGACAAGTGGTCCACGTTGACGGCCGTCCATGCTGCCATGTAGCCTATCACCACAATGATGATGACGGTCAGATACTTCAACAAGTCTTTGTCCCTCACGTGCACTCGATGGGCTTTTCGGGACTGGAATTCGGCTAATATTCTGTAAAGACAGTGCATGTCATATCAATAAATGTAATTAGCAAGGTAAAAATGCTTTCATAGAGAATGAGAAATCAATAAACTATACACATACTAGCATAATGAACTTGAGAAAACATAAACCAACATAAATATGCCTGTGCTTTGGTGGCCGGTTGTCACGTCAAGTGACTACCTCAAACTAAATAACTTGCATCTGCAGGACATCTCACGAGTGAGATAAAAGGATATCCCTTATGAGATTTTGCTGTAATATATATATATCTCTTTGCAGACATCTTTTGTGTGAGATGTAATAAACAGCATCACAATACTACGTTGGCCATTGTGATTTTGTTAGTTACATCACAACATATTACATCCTTAATCGTTCTGCCAGTGAACATTTTAGCTGCACTTTTGTGTTCTCAAGACACTGCGTTTAACGTTTTACAAACGTGGACAGTTAGAATAAAGATCTTGGATGACAAATAGAGAATCTCACCCGAGTGTCTTTTGATATCAAGTACAACACCAAGAGTTGATAGAATTACTTTTATCAACGAGTGTTGATATATTTGATATCAGAAGACACGAGGGTGAGATTCTATTTATCATCGAAACTCCCTCTTCTTTAGTTTTCAATGAAAAATGTACATCTCTGAACACGGTACTGCCATTAGACTTGCCGTGCAGCGATGTCATAGCATTGTGACGTCATCACGTTCATGACGCCATAGCATTATCAGGACATTGTACAAAATCTACTTTCAAAATGATTTCTCCTAGGAAATGTCGTATGATCTCACACAAGCAATATCTCCTGTGGAACACAGTTTTGGATGATAAATAGCAAATCACCTTTGTGTCTATTGACATCAAATATATCCATGGTCGCTGGAAAAGTGTCCATTTTCTAGGGCTGCGCAATGTAACCGGTGTACCGGTATTTACCGGTTCAGACATGAACACGATACGTATTGCGATACGCTGATTGAAAACCGGTATTTTGACATGCATTCGGAAAACTTCGTAACACTCGGAAATCTTCGGATATTTCCGTTTTATAAATTGTTCCTTTCCTTTTTATTTGTGCCAAATATTATTTACACTTTTATTTTGTCATGATGAGAAGTTTTTATTAAAGCTTAATCAAGCATGGTGATTTTGTTGTATTTTAGCTTTATAAATCAAACATTAACTCGATTATTAGTAGTTTTTTGTTAAAAAAGAACTTCTTGCAATATATTGCAATACATATCGCAATATATGTTTTCGCATCGCAATATGAAAATTGTCTGCAAAACCCAGCTCTCTCATTTTCTGATGTATTACAATGTTTATACTTGTTAAAAAAAAACACACACTCCGATGAGATTCATCATATAAGCTCGTGAATCGCTGAACTTGAATCTAACTCCAAACTGGAAACCCAAAACCGTTATAATTACCACTGCCGTGCTGCTTACTTACACACTACGGACAAGTCGAGCACACCTACGTCAAGAAATTAGGTTAACACCAATCATATAATTTCAGATTACCGCTACCGGAGTACATGAACTGAGTTATAAACAATTCCGACGTTGTGAACATAGTTCATACAACAAACGAGTAAACGCAGTGCGTATATACATTTTCAACTTGCAATAGTAAAACTGTGGAACGGCGAATATGTTTTAAATACATTCAGCCTGCATAAGACAGTATGAGCAAGTGCACTATAAGCGTGTCCTATTTGCTCTTGTCACAGTTTGTGAGTTCCATATTATTACATATCACGTGATCAAGGGTTTCTGCACTAAACATTAAAACTAAAGAAAACTATAAATGCATTACATAAGTGATTCGAAACTGACAAAACTGAGCCGCTGTGCAATAAATGATTTCTTGTGGGGGGTTATTCAGCCATGCACATCTTGCAAGTCCTATCTAAACTCTGTCAAAAAAGAAACGCAACCCCTGTCCTCAGATATGAAAAATTCGTTTGAATGAAGTTATTGCTTCCAAACTAAATTTTATTCGAATGTATTGAAATTATACACGTAATTAATGAATATTACCATCCAAACAACTGCATTTGTACGCATAAGTGTATTTTATTGCTTATTCCGTCACAACGCATGAAATGACCCTCATGGTGACTTCGCACAAAAAAAAACACATGCAAATCATGAAAATGGCAGTTAATGTAGGGGTGTATAAAAGCCCATGTGCTTTCGTATTATATTCATTCATTTGTCGCCGAAAAGCTGTGTTAAAAATGCCACGATTGAGTGCTGCCGACCGAAATATCGCCATTGGTCGTGTTCAAGCCGGAGAAAGTTTTGGAACTGTTGCACGGCACCTAAATGTTCACAAAACAACGATATCCCGACTTTGGAGCCGCTACAACAACTTCAATTTGACCAACGATCGCCCGAGAAGTGGAAGGCCAAGAATCACGACCCCCCTTCAAGATCGGTACATCCGGGTCCATCACCTGCGTAATCGGCATGCCCTACCAACCGTGACTGCCACACAAATACCAGGTTTGAGGAGAGTGTCAGCTCAAACGATTAGGAACCGTCTGAAAGAAGCGGGTTTACGTGCCTGTAGACCAGTTGTTGGACCTGTACTACGCCCCTACATCTCCGCCGACGACTCAGGTGGTGCAACAACGTAAGGATATGGACTTTACAAAACTGGAGGCGCATCTGGTTTTCTGATGAATCCCGTTTTCTTTGCAACATCACGACGGAAGAAAACGTGTGTATAGGAGACGTCATGAACGTTTTGCGCCCATCTGCGTCCGACAGGGGACAGATTTGGCGGAGAAAGCGTTATGGTTTGGGGATCCATCTCATACAACCAGAAATCAGACTTGGTGATCGTTGAAGGAACCTGACAGCCCAACGTTACATCAACCACGTATTACAGCCTCACCTTCTCCCGATTTTTGACCAACAGACACAGATTTTCAACCAGACAACGCCCGGCCTCATACTGCACGTGCAACAATGAACTTTCTGCAGAATTCCAACGTCAATGTCTTGCCATAGCCCTCTAAATCACCAGACCTCAACCCTATTGAACACCTGTGGATACTCTGGGTCGACGCGTACGTCAACGTCAGCCGCCGCCACAGACGCTGCAACAGCTCGGCGTTGCACTGCAGGAGGAGTGGAGAGCCATTCCCCAGGAAAGAATCCGGCGTCTTATCCGTTCTTGTCCAAGGAGATGCCGTGCAGTGATTGTAGCTCGTGGTGCTCATACGAGATACTGAGAAGACGCCCCCCTGGTGACAAACTGGTGTCTGTGAGATGACTTTTGAAATGACAATTTTAAACATGCCCATCTTGGTTATTATTCTGCCAAATTTCAGACTTCTGTCTTAAATAATAAAAATGCTGTGTCGTCTTAAAACTTCAGATCAAAATCTCTAAAATACAGGGGTTGCGTTTCTTTTTTTGACAGAGTTTATATTGATCGCACCCAGTGCCTATTGAAACGCCTGTTTCTTATAAACATGCTTTGGTAAATATTTTACAGCTATAATATACCTGTTTTCTGAAGACAAACTGTGCTTAAGCCATTTCTATAAATATCCACACACGTTTTTGTGGTCTGTTGACAGCTATTTATCGACTGGTTTCGCCTCACTCTCCGTTCAGCTACGTTTATCAATGGCCGACCGTCGGAGACTTATAGACAGATCCCAAAATAGTCCTGAGAAACTAAATTTAGTTCATTTACGTCAGAGTAAAGCGAGAAAAAATCATTGAAGAAGGTCGCCTTAAGGAAAGATATTTGTTTCATTAAAGTTTGGACATGAACAATTCTAAGGCGCAATATGAAGTTCATTTGCTCATTGACCCAGGTAAGGTCCTTTTCTCACTGCTTGTAGCTCAGCATGTGATGTATTTCCCATTTTGTTGTCATCATAGAAAAGGCGACAACGACTAAGTGGGTTAGAGTTTCACCTGCTCTTAATTTGCATTGCGGGGATTTAAGGTGCTTTGCCCATTTTATTTTATAGTTTGTAGATACCACAGGGAAATATTAATAGCGACTGAGTGGATTGTAAAATGTTTGTATCATAACGTGGTAATGTCCGTTATGAGGACAGATCGAGCCTCCTCATCGTGGCCAGTCTGAGAGTGGAACCTACAACCATGGATCCTATATCACACCTATTGAAGTTTGTTGCAGTTGATACAATCGTATTGATGGTAAAATCTGTGTGTATCACACCTCTGTCCCGCAATCTGAGAGTCCCTTTGGTTTTACCCCTCCTAGAACATTATCATTATGTGTCCGCTCATTGTGAGACACATTCGCCAATTCTGTGGAATTTAGAAGGTGACTGTTCCTGTCGAACCCACGATCATAGATTTCTGGGACTCCAAAAAAACACTTTCTTCACAAAGGACTGAAGCGACTGTACACTTAAGGCATGATCGAACACACTATTATTTCATGTCATATTGTATTCAATAACCCTGTGAATCAAATACATATCAAATACGAATCACATTGTTCGCTTAAATAACTTTTAATTTCCATTTCACATCAAATATATAACGCCTGATACAAGATTTTAATAACAAGTTATTTTAATCCACTGTTTAATCTTAAGTTGCATAAACTGGCATTAATAGTATTTGATTGGGTTAATGTAAAGCCAATCGTCAGAACATGGGGGAGTCTACAATATCTGTCAGATCTTTCACTACATCCCGGATGTCCCATAACCAGAGTGTGTGTGTGTGTGTGTGTGTGTGTGTGTGTGTGTGTGTGTGTGTGTGTGTGTGTGTGTGTGTGTGTGTGTGTGTGTGTGTGTGTGTGTGTGTGTGTGTGTGTGTGTGTGTGTGTGTGTGTGTGTGTGTGTGTGTGTGTGTGTGTGTGTGTGTGTGTGTGTGCGTACAATGAACCATATGGTCCACAACGGACTACAATGCTACGAGGTCATGGCAGACAGTTTGATAGTACTATAACATGGAGTAACTAGATGATTTGGGTGAAATATCTTCTGAACTGTACTTCATTTATAATGCTGATTATTTTGCACATTTGGATACACATGGGTGTGTGAGTAAGTGGAGACAATTAAGGACAGACTTTATGGAAGGACAACTTCTGTATTCAGGTTGGGATACAGATACTTGTATAGTTGTCAAGCAGGTATCTGTATCAAAACGTCGCATCACCTAAATAAAGAAGTTGTTCATCCAAAACGTTTGTCCTTATCTTGACTCTCCAACTTCTAAACATGCCACTCAAAGAAGTAGAGACAATATCAAAGGCCAGATAAGACCTCTTATACATCTCTGTTAAGGGCAAATATACCTCTGAACATTATTGCAGTTATATTGCTGACAGTCTACAAGGGATTCATATGCCACAAGTTTGTGGAAACCAGACCCATATTAATAAATGGATTACACCCTGGTCTGCTATAGACATACATAGACTACTGACACACACCAATACGGACACACAACAATTCTCCTACCTGTATACTTTTAATACTAGGGCCCCATACACTATAGCAAATCCACACTCTCTAAACCAAGGGACCATTATACATGTTAGCGTCGTAGGTTCGAAGTACTGTATTACCACCTGAAAGAGAGACAACAACATCATTATTACAGCTTATTTATAAAAATATGTCTCACTGTATATGTCATTGATTGAGTAGATACAAAGGGGATGTGAGTAAAATAATGCTGAAAATGCATAAATAACCCTTTGGTTACAATAACCCTTTGGTGCCGCACATTTCCTTTCCTTCGTGATAACAACACCTCTCATATAAACATCAATGACATTCTATGTTGCAAAACAATGATAATAATAATGACAATGATGATGATGATGATGATGATGAATACGATCAATGAGTGAATACCTCACATCAATTGGCAGTATTTCAGCCAAAATGAGACCATTTTTATTATGTGCGAACATTCTTCAAGGATACTTATACCACACACATAACAGATCACAGAGGATTGGTTTACAGAATAAACAGATCAAGTGTTTTACATAGTTCTGCACCGTTATAACTTTAACTCAGTACTATCAAAGATGACTATTAACCGACTGTAGACTAATATCAACGAAAAGCATGACTACAGTAGCTCTGCTAAGCACAATGTCATAATGATATGGATTAAAACGATAATAGTCTATTTGATGTTTAACTAAAACACAGTCATAATAGAGGCGATCAGTCGTCATCAAATATATCGTTTATGCTACTGATTACACGTTGTAAGTCTTTCTTTTATTTGTTTTAAATTCAAGATCCATTATCCATGGCGAAAAACACAGTGTGTCCTCGTAAACAAGCAAGCTGGTTGTCCAATGTAAACACGACACCAGTATACAGGTACTGTACGTACATGGTTCGTGCTGGGATGGTTTATGATTAGAAAGCAGCTGTGCTCTCTGGGCTGGAAGCTGATGTTGGATAATGCTCACATGACATGCAACTCTCAGAAACAAAGAGACCCGATGCGTGAGATGATTTTCGGATGAATAATACTGTGGCATCAATGACGTAGCATGTGAATACTACTGTGGTATCAATGCCTTAACATGTGACTACTACTGTGGTATCAATGACTTAACATGTGACTACTACTGTGGTATCAATGACTTTACATGTGACTACTACTGTGGTATCAATGACTTAACATGTGACTACTACTGTGGTATCAATGACTTCACATGTGACTACTACTGTGGTATCAATGACTTAACATGTGACTACTACTGTGGTATCAATGACTTTACATGTGACTACTACTGTTGTATCAATGACTTAACATGTGACTACTACTGTGGTATCAATGACTTTACATGTGACTACTACTGTGGTATCAATGACTTTACATGTGACTACTACTGTGGTATCAATGACTTAACATGTGACTACTACTGTGGTATCAATGAATTAACATGTGACTACTACTGTTGTATCAATGACTTAACATGTGACTACTACTGTGGTATCAATGACTTTACATGTGACTACTACTGTGGTATCAATGACTTTACATGTGACTACTACTGTTGTATCAATGACTTAACATGTGACTACTACTGTGGTATCAATGACTTTACATGTGACTACTACTGTGGTATCAATGACTTAACATGTAAATGGTACATTGGTATCAATGACTTTACATGTGACTACTACTGTGGTATCAATGACTTGACATGTGACTACTACTGTGGTATCAATGACTTTACATGTGAGTACTACTGTGGTATCAATGACTTTACATGTGACTACTACTGTGGTATCAATGACTTTACATGTGAGTACTACTGTGGTATCAATGGCTTTACATGTGACTACTACTGTGGTATCAATGACTTTACATGTGACTACTACTGTGGTATCAATGACTTAGCATGTGACTACTACTGTGGTATCAATGACTTAACATGTGACTACTACTGTGGTATCAATGACTTTACATGTGACTACTACTGTGGTATCAATGACTTGACATGTGACTACTACTGTGGTATCAATGACTTTACATGTGACTACTACTGTGGTATCAATGACTTAACATGTGACTACTACTGTGGTATCAATGACTTAACATGTGACTACTACTGTGGTATCAATGACTTTACATGTGACTACTACTGTGGTATCAATGACTTTACATGTGACTACTACTGTGGTATCAATGACTTAACATGTGACTACTACTGTGGTATCAATGACTTAACATGTGACTACTACTGTGGTATCAATGACTTAACATGTAAATGGTACATTGGTATCAATGACTTTACATGTGACTACTACTGTGGTATCAATGACTTGACATGTGACTACTACTGTGGTATCAATGACTTTACATGTGAGTACTACTGTGGTATCAATGACTTTACATGTGACTACTACTGTGGTATCAATGACTTTACATGTGAGTACTACTGTGGTATCAATGACTTTACATGTGAGTACTACTGTGGTATCAATGACTTTACATGTGACTACTACTGTGGTATCAATGACTTAGCATGTGACTACTACTGTGGTATCAATGACTTAACATGTGACTACTACTGTGGTATCAATGACTTTACATGTGACTACTACTGTGGTATCAATGACTTTACATGTGACTACTACTGTGGTATCAATGACTTTACATGTGACTACTACTGTGGTATCAATGACTTAACATGTGACTACTACTGTGGTATCAATGACTTAACATGTGACTACTACTGTGGTATCAATGACTTACCATGTGACTACTACTGTGGAAACCGTGGACATACGTTCAGTGAAACTAACTGAAAAGTTGTTCCCACTTCATTTACATTTGTGGTGTAAATGACGAAAAATCTTTAGGTATTATGTTTTCCTGTTATCGTAATTTCATTCCTTGTGGGTTAGTGATTTTCGTCATCCTTTATTTCAGTACGTGTAGGTCACAGGCCTGTCTGTACACACACATGGTAATATACAAATGAGAGTGTGTGCATGCATGTCAAACACCAGATGGACGTGGCGTGATTTGCACACTGTTAATCATTTGTAATTGTTGTTTGTATAAGCCATTGCTACTAGATCTCCGTATATTTGTAAAATGCAAGAACATAACTTTGTTATTTATATTTGGACTTGAAGATAATAGATGCGAGTCAAACGTCTGTATGTTTGGGTGTGTTTGAATGTGTTATTTTGAGGTACATTTGTCTCAGGCTGAAGGTAGTAAGCAGTCTTGGACGTAAATACACTGTATTAGATTAAGTACGAATGAAAGCGGACAAATTCGGAAGTGGATATGTTAGTAAATAAATAGCATAAAAACTGTAGTGAGTATGTTGGTTTGCGAGCGCGCACGTGCGTGCGTGCGTGTGTGTGTGTGTTTATGTGTGCTTATTCCTACAATATCACGAAGGGAGACACAAGAAATGGACCACACTCATAGAAGTCATGTTGGTGTTCGAAACTGTGACGAGCAAACACTTTAACCCATAGGCTATATCACCTCATAGAATAAACATAATGTACATATACATCGTGATTGTTATTAGTGATTATTCAGTGAGAAGAATAGTATTTACTGTGGCTCTTTCGCTTGAAGTACACCAACAAGGCTTTCTGTTATAATGGGCATGTTGGTGTAATGCCATGGTATATTTAGTAGTGACCATATAATTTGGTCTCCGATGCTGCTGTTTTGGTAATACAATGTCAAATTGTTTCATGGCTGAACATGGGGTTTTATATTGCTTAAAGAGGCGTAAAAACATACTCACTCACTCAAACCAGAACTGGACCCCTTCAGATGTTTAAGAATTACATTTTACTTCAACGTTTTATCATACGTTTTGAACAAAAGGCATTTACGTGGATAGTGCACACATAAGAAAGAGAGGTATTTGCGCTCACGACACATGGTGTGACTCCCTATTACAACCTCCGTGGTGATTATAGTAAATTACACCAACCAAAGGTACTAATTAAGTTTGTTTAACAGTGCACACTTTAATCGAGTCGTTCCCACATGCACACGCAAGGGTGGTAGGAACATGCAAGAGATCGGCTCCACTAGTTGTACAAACGGATACCAGTGACAGCCTACGGCAAACAGACAAATGTCATGGTAGTTCCGAGGTTAAGGCCGGACAGAGCTATCACTTATGTACTCATCACCATGTCTTCAGGGTAGCAATTAAGCACTGAACAATCGGGCACAAACCGTATGAATCATTCCGAAAAGAGGACAAGTTACATGCAAGGCAGCGGCACCCTAAGTAATGCATGACTTCGCGTTTATTGAATAATCATTAGACTTCAACAACATTATGTGTTTCACTCTGTAGTATACATAGGCAAGTATTCCTATATATTCCGAATGAGCTACATGAACTACAATGAGTGAGTATGGTTTTACGCCGTGTTTAGCAATATTCCAACAATATCGTGGCGGTTTTTTTTAGAAATGGGCTACATCCATTGTATCCACGTGGGGAATTGAACCCGGGTTTTGGCGTGATGAGCGAACGATCTTACCACTATTCTACCCCTCTTCCCCGAACGATCTACAGCAGAGGTTTAGCGAATCACGTGCTACATTTCAGCTTTTGAAAAAACGACCAAACACACAACCGTACCCACTTTCTGTTAGTTGGAGTTAGCAAGGGAGATATTGTTGAGTATCTTGAAAGAATCGTGACTATATACTCACTGTTGCGTATAAGAGAAGGGCTCCCACTAATATCATCTCTAGTAAAATCCACATACTGGAGCGCATCACCTGGAAATAGAAAGAATAATGAAATTTTAGATATACATGACATTGCCATGAAATAATTACTGACAGCAAATATTTGCCTTTGTAGCAAATATTCAGGAAAACCCGATGTGACGCAGCTCGTACCATTTTGCTGAAACCCACGTGAAAACCACGAGCAACGAAGGCGGGATGCAGGAAATATGTACATGCTTGTACCCATGTTTTTTCAACTGTTGGTATGTCAATACGATGATTTTTTATATGTTTAATCATAAGCAATTCGTAGGACAATTGATCTTGTCACAATAAACTTTACCTACTTTCCAAACAATAAAAACTCCTAATATGCATCAACGTTACATAAGGTCGATAGCAAAACAAAGAAATAACCTTGAGTTATTTCCGCAATCAATGACGTCTTGACCCGCAACAATAGCTGTGTTTTCGTCCCGATGGCTTTTCGACGTGGGCCATCCTAGTTGACAAGCGTGGGAGGTGTAAGCAGGCACTTAGAGGGAGCTAGATCTCGGTTAACATCCCCAGCTATTCTTTTCCCGTTAATTGTCAACATTAAATCTAAACTTAGGAGGTTAATATCACCAGCCGTGTGTAGCCTGGGATATATCCTGGAACTACTCTCACGTAACGTCCTAAGTTGGACAACGTTTGGCTAATCCATTTGACCTTTAATGTCAGGTAAATATCTTTAAAAACAATGCATTATGACGTCAATACCAGCAGTTCATGCCTCAAATAGTATAAACTTGTCACAGCTGATTTGCGTCTGACCATTAAGCTAGATCGCATTATATTAAAATCTGCCAAATATCCAAAATCATATCACCAGATTTACTTTCCAGTACAGTATTTCTGAATGAACAGAGAATACATAGTCGCATAAATGCTTGTAAAAGATGCATGGTGGTTCTTTATTTGAAAAGCAACTACGAAAGCATGAAAAGTATTGTACTAAATACAGGCATTAACCTCCTACTTCTGTATATGCTTAGCCTTTGTTTGTTAACAGACATTGCTTTATGAATATTTATATGCCCACACATATGCATCGAGAATATCTCAGCAGCATGTGAACCTCATTGTACCTCATATCGTTACAGGAAAACAGTGACCGAATTCTGTCTCTCCTGAACAAGGGCAAAAAGAGGAACCAGACAAAAGTGATACCGACAATGTCTTCTTGTGACGTACAATGTCATACCCTGTCATACCCTGTCATAAAGTGAATACGTTAACAATGATGCCTGTGTTTTGTTTCAGTATACTATATATATATATATATATATATATATAATACTATATCCATAACGATTTACACACTGTGTCAATAGTGATGTCTATGCCATGCTAATAATATTGCCAATATAACATTATGTCAATAATGATGTCGGTAATATGTCAATAGTGACCTTGGTAATATGTCAATAATGATACTGCAATATGTCAACACTGTTGCCTGTAAGATGTCACTAATGATGTCTGTAATATATCAACAATGATGCCTGTCATATGTCAATAATAATACTTGTAATATACCAATAATGGTACTTGTAATATATCAGTAATGATGCATGCAAGATTTCAATAATGATGCCTGTAATATGTCAATAATGATGTCTGTAATATGTCAATAATGGTACTTGTAATATGTCAGTAATAATGCCTGCAATAATGGCCTAATTTGTCTTGTAATATGTCAGTAATAATGCCTGCAAGATGTCAACAATGATGCCTGCAAGATGTAAACAATTTGTCAATATATTATGCCTGTACCTATGTCAATAATGGTAAGATTCAACAATGTAATATGTCAGTAATAATGCCTGCAAGATGTAAACAATGATGCCTGTAATTTGTCAATGATACTTGTAATATGCCAATAATGATACCTGTAGGTTGTCAATAATGATGCCTGTAATATGTTAATAATGATGTCTGTAATGATGCTGTAATATGTAATATGTTAATAATGATGTAAACAATGTAATATGTCAATAATGATGTCTGTCAATAATGACTGTGTAAACAATATGGTAATTTGTAATGATACTTGTCCAATAATGTAATAATGATGCCTGTAATATGTTAATAATGATGTCTGCAATAATGATGTCTGTAATATGTCAATTATGCCTGTAATATTCAGTAATAATGCCTCAAGATGTAAACAATGATGCCTGTATTTTGTCAATGATACTTGTAATATGTCAATAATCATACCTGTAAGTTACCAATAATGATGCCTGTAATATGTCAATAATGATGCCTGTACTATGTCAATAATGGTACTTGTAATATGTCAGTAATAATGCCCGCAAGATGTAAACAATGATGCCTGTAATTTGACAATGATACTTGTAATATGCCAATAATCATACCTATAAGTTATCAATAATGATGCCTGTAATATGTTAATAATGATGCCTGTAATATGCCAATAATGATACCTGTAAGTTATCAATAATGGTACTTGCAATATGTCAATAATGATGCCTGTAATATGTCAATAATGGTACTTGTAATATGTCAGTAATAATGACTGCAAGATGTCAACAATGATGCCTGTAATATGTCAATAATGATGCCTGTAATATGTCAATAATGGTACTTGTAATATGTCAATAATAATGCCTGTAAGATGTCAACAATGATGCCTGTAATATGTCAATAATGATACTTGTAATATGCCAATAATGATACCTGTAGGTTGTCAATAATGATGCCTGTAATATGTTAATAATGATGCCTGTAATATGTCAATAATGGTACTTGTCACATGTCAGTAATAATGCCTGCAAGATGTCAACAATGATGCCTGTAATATGTTAATAATGATGTCTGTAATATGTCAATAATGGTACTTGTAAGTTATCAATAATGATGTCTGTAATATGTCAATAATGATGCCTGTAACTAATCAATAATGATGCCTGTAATATGTTAATAATGATGTCTGTAATATGTCAATAATGATGTCTGTAATATGTCAATAATGGTACTTGTAATATGTCAGTAATAATGCCTGCAAGATGTCAACAATGATGCCTGTAATATGTCAATAATGATGTCTGTAATATGTCAATAATGGTACTTGAAATATGTCAGTAATAATGACTGCAAGATGTAAACAATGATGCCTGTAATTTGTCAATGATACTTGTAATATGCCAATAATGATACCTGTAGGTTATCAATAATGATGCCTGTAATATGTTAATAATGATGTCTGTAATATGTCAATAATGATGTCTGTAATATGTCAATAATGGTACTTGTAATATGTCAGTAATAATGCCTGCAAGATGTAAACAATGATGCCTGTAATTTGTCAATGATACTTGTAATATGCCAATAATCATACCTGTAGGTTATCAATAATGATGCCTGTAATATGTTAATAATGATGTCTGTAATATGTCAATAATGGTACTTGTAATATGTCAATAATAATGTCTGCAAGATGTCAACAATGATGCCTGTAATATGTCAATAATGATGTCTGTAATATGTCAATAACGATACTTGTCAATAACGATAATATGTCAATAATGATGCCTGTAATATGTCAATAATGGTACTTGTAATATGTCAGTAATAATGCCTGCAAGATGTCAACAATGATGCCTGTAATATGTCAATAACGATAATATGTCAATAAAGATGCCTGTAATATGTCAATGATACTTGTAATATGTCAATAATGATGCCTGCAATATGTCAATAATGATACTTGTGATATGTCAATAATGATGCCTGTAATATGTGAACGATGATGACTGTAATATGTCAACGATGATGACTGTAATATGCCAACAATAATATTTGTACTATGTCAACAATAATGGCCGTACTGTGTCAACAATAATGTCTTTACTATGTCAACAATAATGTCTGTACTGTGTCAGCAATAATATCTGTACTATGTCAACAATAATGTACTTACTATGTCAACAAAAATGCCTGTTCAATGTCAACAATAGTGTATGTACTATGTCAACAATGATGACTGTACTATATCATCAAAGATGTCTGTACTATGCGAACAATAATGCCTTTTAATATGTGAACAATAATGTCTGTACTGTGTCAACAATAATATATGTACAATGTCAACAATAGTGTATGTACTATGTCAACAATGATGTCTGTACTATGTCAACAATAATGCCTTTACTATGTGAACAATAATGTCTGTACTGTGTCAACAATAATATCTGTACTCTGTCAACAATAATGTACTTACTATGTCAACAAAAATGCCTGTACAATGTCAACAATAGTGTATGTACTATGTCAACAATGATGACTGTACTATGTCATCAAAGATGTCTGTACTATGCGAACAATAATGCCTTTTAATATGTGAACAATAATGTCTGTACTGTGTCACCAATAATATATGTACAATGTCAACAATAGTGTATGTACTATGTCAACAATGATGACTGTACTATGTCATCAAAGATGTCACTATGTCAACAATGACGACTGTACTATGTCATCAAAGATGTCTGTACTATGCGAACAATAATGCCTTTTAATATGTGAACAATAATGTCTGTACTGTGTCACCAATAATATCTGTACTCTGTCAACAATAATGTACTTACTATGTCAACAAAAATGCCTGTACAATGTCAACAATAGTGTATGTACTATGTCAACAATGATGACTGTACTATGTCATCAAAGATGTCTGTACTATGCGAACAATAATGCCTTTTTATATGTGAACAATAATGTCTGTACTGTGTCACCAATAATATATGTACAATGTCAACAATAGTGTATGTACTATGTCAACAATGATGAGTGTACTATGTCATCAAAGATGTCTGTACTATGTCAACAATGACGACTGTTCTATGTCATCAAAGATGTCTGTACTATGGCAAAAATGATGTCGGTACTATGTCCAACAATGATGTCTGTACACTGCAGTATGTCAATAATGATGTGTGTACTATTTATTCTGAGTACAGATGATGGAACATTTTGAAGTCAACTTATTAACAGATATTACTTGAAGTGTGAGCGAGAATGTATCTGGCTGTTCTTACTTATCAACTGATTATAGGCTGAAATGTGCAATCGAATTTCAAGAACTTTATACGGGAGACAAAACCCATTATTTGTCTTTACTCGATATTTGGCATATTGATGAGGGGTTTTCCCCTCGGTCTTACTTTTCCTGGGCTTTCTTTCCTTGGGATTTAGAGTCACAAGTACAATTTCAGAACGATTCTTTATCATATACCTAAACATGAAGAGTGGTGAAATGGTGAGAGGGAGAGAGAATACGGGGGCAGCGGAAATCTGGACAGAACACGTCCTTCCACCTCCATCAAAACAGGAAAGACATTTTTAACTGTAAAGTTAGAGAATCTGCTGAACGTGACTTGGCTGAATCAGCATGTGTTGATAAGGAATATAGATCGCAGGTGTATTGGTTAACTCCGCCCACAACGTGATGCGCAAGGCAATGTTTGGAGTTGTGACTTCACCCACGATATGGCGATGTCAACATGTTTTGAATATTGCTATCTGCGACTGAGTTTTCATATGAACAATCAGTACATCCGTTCATCTAAATCTACCAGAGTTCCATTCACTTGTTAATTTAGTGCACGATTCGTTTGGTAGGTGCCAAACGTAGTCCAGAGTTGCGCCCCTTTGGTATGTCAAGATCCTATGTTTGTGGGTCGTAATCCAACGTTCGTTCTGGTCGTGAGTCATGGTGTGGCAGTACTATACCGTATTCATTGTTATCACCAAGAGAAATTGCTCACAGCGACTCAATACCCAGTCTCTTGATAACTGTATCTGGCTATTGGAATGTGCTTGCAATAACGTATGACAAGTGTACGGTATTTATGCTAAGCGTTCGATATACTTCGAAAAAACTACCTAATATACCTTTAAATGGATAGTTAGAACATGCATAACTACCATCCCAGCTGGTGTACCTCAAGTCGATGATGGTGAAGCATGGTACAGATTCTACGTTGCCCGATACTTTCCTTTCTAATGTTGATCAAGGAATGTGAAAATGAATGCACATCACCTGTCATAATCTGTTAGCGACGCTCATTAGAGCTATTCCGGTATTACTGTCTTCCAACATTTCTGCAAGTCTGGCAGTATAGCACTGAGAAACACAGACAGGGAGAAAGGTATGAGGTCAAATTGGTCAACTGAAGAGAGCACTGCGGGAGAAACCAGACGAGATAAACATGTACCGCTGTACCTCCTTGTTTCGCGATGTAGACTAGATGATACTTTGATACTGCTGTCTGCGACTCATAACGATACCTTACTCACTCACTTGTTTAACGAATTAAAACTGTGAAGAGTATCATGTCTCTTTGTAATGCATCGTAACAATAGCAGGTGTGATGATATAACTCAGTATGTAGTACATATTGCTTGCTTATATAACTATGGACGTATCATAACGCGTACGGTATTCCGCAAAGGTGTATCATGATACGTATTTTGTCGTGATACGTACATAATGGTATCGTCAGGGAGGTGTATTGTGACACCTACACGCATTGTATGGTTGGGTAGAATGTAACACGTTTAGGAAACGTTTATCGTGACATCATGACGCACGAAAGGTGAATCGGGACACGTACTGTATTGTAACACGGACATGACGGTATTGTTGGGTGTCTTGTGACAAGTACATATATCATAGGCCGGGAGGCGTGATATTTATGATACTGGAATGCACGTTTATTGTGGCATGTATGATGTCACAAGAAAGGTGTATTGTAAACGGTATATTGAAGGTGTAATGTGACACGTATGGTGTTGTAAATAAGGTGTATCGTCTTGACAGCAGGCCTTCTACATCTCTACGAACGTAGACTAACACACGGGAGCCAAATGGAAAATGACTTCCAGCAGAAAGGGTTGCAAGAACTTCCATGAATCCATTGTTTGCATATGCAACTTCATGAACATTGACATTCATAAAAAGTGGATATTTTCAAAATCGGAACTGATCCTTTTATGTTTAAGAAATTGATACCTTTGTACTGGGAGTTCTTAGTTTGGTAAACATCTGTCTGCACATGCTTTCGTGAATATAATGTTTTCATTGTTCATTTATGGGTTCAGATGATCGACTCAAAACACAGTTATTCTTTACATATAAAGGCAAATACACGCAACTTACCTTGGTTTTTCTTAACCTCACTATAACGATGCCAATGACCAATGCTATTGTCATGCAAAAACTCTGTATTCCAAGCGGTATTCCGCGAAGTAGAATATTGTACACAGCTATGCAAGGAAGACATTGATCCTGTGTGTGGTTGTCTGACACATTCCTGAACAGATATGTTTTCTCCATAAGCTTTCCGTCTAAGTTTTTATCGTTCTCGTCTATTTGGTCACAGGCCTCCTGACTGCACTCACAACGGTAGCTGGCCCATCTTAGTCCGTTTCCAGGAATATGAACACACTGAAACATCACAGGAAGGAATCGTTAACAACAACATGGCAAATAACCCACCGTACACACGCATTAACGTAGAATGGCATGACATCTGTGGAGTGAGCTAGTGAGTTTAGTGTTACACCGCTTTTTTGGAATATTCCAGCAGGGGGGGCACCAGAATGGGCTTCACACATTGTACCCATGTGGGGAATCGAACCCGGTTTTTCGGCGTGACGAGCGAACGCTCTAACCACTAGACTACCCCACCTCCCCCATCTGTGGAGTAATGGTGTGGAGTAATTGTGTTATAAAATACAATAGATTGAAAAAACATAAATATTATTCTTTCAGGGAACGATAAGATTGAGTGAGCTAGTGAGTTTAGTGTAATGCCGCTTTTTGGAATATTCCAGCAATATTCCACGGCGGGGGACATCAGAAATGGGCTTCACACATTGTATCAATGTCGGGAATCGAACCCGGGTCTTCGGCGTGAAAAGGCAATGTTTTAACCACTAGGCTACCCCACCGCCCACAAGATTAAGGTAATTGGTGATATTGATGTACATACATAAGGAACGATATATGACAGCAGTACCAAATTAATACCATGGCTGAAAAGGAATATGACACAAGTCAAAGCCATTTGAGTCATGTTGGAGTCCTATAGAAATGTGTGTGCATATGTATATATGGCTGCCGGGTCTGGGGGTTGTTGTTATAGGGTTTGGGTAAGTGTGTTTTCGGTTGCCTGTAAAACGTTGTGCCAGAAACTTTCCACTGTGATGTCAAAGTAGGGCAGGCTGATTCACAACAGAATAACGTCGGGGTTAGTCAACTGTTAAGTGGCCTACCCACCAATGGAAGACATAATGTAACCACGTCACTATGAAAATGTTCTCGCTCAGGTACGAAGGCGTACTAGTATGGGTGGCAATATCTCGCACAGCCCAATGCTTTTGAGAGGAAATCCTACATCCATTTATATAGGATAATTCATTCCCCCTTAAATGTTTGGGAGTTGGAATAAATATATACTAGGTGTACGATAGGCCTGCAGGTGTGGAATATATCAGCTTCGTTACATTTTCGGGAAGGAAGTTTTGGCACGTATATTCTTCCAACGGGGGAATTTACAAGGGAAAATGGATCCTCTGTTACACATTCCCATTATGAAGCAAACAATGTCATATTTTAATATGATAATTGTGTACGGCAGACAGTGAGTGTAACAGCATTATTCGGGTACCACAATGAACAGTCCCGGATCCTGCCAATCACTCCTTGTCATTATCCTTTGTCCTCATGTTTCTAGCGTGTCCAAGCTTGTAATTTATCATCACTCATCACGTGTTCAGTAAACATGTTACTTCCCACATTAAAATGTGGTTATTCTATATACTGAGGTATGTATATCGATGAAACGAAGGAAACAAGCACGTGCATGGATAAACTCTCTAAAATGCAAATGGGTGTTGAAGGTTCACGTCACTGCATATGCATGCACTGTAAGAACGGTCCTATGAAGGTGATCTGTAGAAGCACCAAGTGAAATATCATGCGTGTAAGAGACATCACCACATGTGTATGTCACGCTCTATATGCTTTCTACCCCTGAGGATCCGCGTTAGAATTGGTTCATCAGCCCATGCTTGTCGTAAGAGGAAACAAACAGAATCGGCTGGTCAGGCTTGCTGATTTTGGTGACACATATCATCGTATATTGCGTAGATCGATGCTCATGGTGCTGATCACTGGAATGTCTGGTCCAGATTCGATCATTTACTGACCGCTGCCATATAGCTGGAATAATGCTGAGTGCGGCGTTAAACACCAACTAGCCAGCCCACCAACTGTATGCATTCTCTCGCATGTTTAAAGCTTTGATACTATGATGGGATATATGAAACAGAACATTTACAGCAAATAGAAAACAAATAGTTCTACTGGGACCAAGAACCATGGTCAGGAAAGACCGATAACTCGTGTCTGGCTTTATAAACAGAATGTTGGATCACGTTAATGAGTTTGTGGAAAAGGATTCAATCCAACATGGATACTAAGACATAAGTAGCGGTCGACCAGTGAAGGTTCATCTCTGCTTGATCTTGACATTGAGTTTACACTAACACAAGACTGCCATTCTGCAGGTGTCTTGGAGTTTGGGAGTCAGTTAAAGAGGATGCACATCTACCTGCGCTGAAGTTGGTACACTTAAATTTGGCAACACTTCAATTTAAGAAAGGCATATGGCGGCGGGTACCCATGAGGCAGAACCCACGAAGCGATACCTATGAAAAGGAATTAATACCATATTTCTATCACAGGTATGTACACTATCGTACAATGATCTACATATCTTCACAAGCCTACGACTGTATAGACAATGTATTTGGGAAATTAAACAATAATGTTGTTTAATAGCTTTATTATTTTGCTTACAGGTCAAATAAAACTTTGTTTTGGACACAATGGATATATCTATATGGATGGCTTGTTGTTTAATCTTGGTGAAACAGAATTTCGTTCGAAGCCTTGACACGAACAGAGAGTTTTAAGTAATAACTGAACCAAAACATGTTCGTCAAGATATTAACACCGTTTTGTCAATATTATGAAATTTCATAAACACAGAACCTATATTTTCAGGTATATACTGAGTAACAGATTTATTATACAGCTGTAAAAAATCTGGGCCAGACATTCCAACGGTAGATAGAACGAGCACTGACACTATCAGTGAGGTTACATATGATAGTCACTACACGTGCAAGGTAAGCACAAAATGCTCGAAATGTATTTTGAGAAGGGCGCTGCTTGAAACAAAGCCTGGCAGGACATATCAACTGAATTGGTACCACAGGGTGGACGAACGGTGGGTGGGCTATATGGATTGACGGGAGATTTGACATCCTTCTATGTCAACTGATTTTTTTACAGAAGGTATATCGTGCTTCAGGCATATCGATAATTTGATACCGTTCAATAATAATCAAATAGCCAATTCCTGTCCACTGATTTACCCAACTGAACTAGAAATAGAGAAAATCAGTAAACCCAACAGTAAACGTTTGCTATTTATGTTGAGCAATATTCCCGCAGCTTCGGTCACATGTGTCTACATTTCCCAACGTTTGGATCACAATCGAGCATTTTGAAGACATTTCAAATTTGAAGAAATTATTTCCTATGCAATTCCCTATTTTGACTTTTACTACGTGTTCGTGTATTTTTAGGTGGATAATTGACTTGCCTTGCATGTGTTTGCGATGAGTGCCTCCGGTGGGGCATAGTAGGCTCACCTCTTTGCGAACACCTGGCATATCATTATTTGATGGCGAGTCGTATGACACAAGCTCGTGATATAGTCTTACTCGGACAATGGATTTCTTATGATTATGGAATTGATATTGTCGCTAAAATTTACAAAAAATAATCCTATTCACAAAAGATAATCCCATTATATAACAGGTAAATATAAGTCACTAATTTCTAATGGTGAAAGGAAGCCCATTTCTGGTGACCCCCTCGGTGATATTGCCGGAATATTGATAAAAGGGGGCGTAAAACCATACTCACTCACTCACTCAAATGGTGAACTTCCTATTACTGTGCCCTGAAAGTATAGATCCTTGTTCAGTATTTCAGTCACCGGATTGCCTGTTTGCAGACCCGTATCTTTACAGGTCTGGTGAGATATCGGTGACTCTGGTGTTACTCACTCACTCATTCACGAGTTGATAAGGTGACCATCAGCTGTTTCTGACCACCGAACAAGTTGATAACCGGGTAATTACAACGTCGGAGTGTGTGTTATCATTAATCGACTACTGGTTATGTGTTAACCAGAACAGCTTATTGAACGTGGGCGTTAATGACTAATGTGTCCCTTACACAAAGGAGAAACACCTGTAGTTGCCCCTTTTCAGGATCTCTCGTGTTCATTAGCAAATGACATAGTGATACTGAAGGTACTTACTTTAGCAGTGGGAGGGCGACAAGTGTGTGTGTTTGCAAATAGTGAGTCGTCGTTAGCACACTGGTTGATCTCTAAGCTTAAGAGGTCAATATCGAACAGGACAGCCCCTCTGAAACAATAAACAAAACATCATGGTCAGTAAACAATAATAATGTGTTCATTCATATCGCGAATAATATGTTCATTTATATAGCGAATAATATGTTCATTTATATAGCGCTAACCACGCATGCTCATGACGCTAGCAATGAATAGCACAGCACATTTATGACCCCGGATAACCCAGGCTGCCTGATAGGTTATAGTCACATGACTTATCCCACCGGGTTTTCTGCTGGGTGAACAGAGGCAATTTTGAACAAACTCATTTGAGACCACATGTATCACAAGTGCTTCGTTGCGGGGCAGGACTGAAATCCTAGAAACTCTCAGGAGTCAAGCTGCCACCCATTTAAGAACTCTCCGCGTCCAACGCTGCTTAACTTCACCTGACTGTGACCTGAGCTCCATGCACAGGACCACACACAGCCAATCGATCATCGATGATCGTATGAACATGCATAGTAAATCATTAACGGTAACAAGTGCGATGTATTGCTATTATAAGCTTGTAGTACATACAACATTTGTATACCGTGCACGCAAAACTCAGTGGTTAGACACGTATAGTTCCTAAGGCACCCAAGACGCGTCTCGTGTCCACCTAATGCATCCATCATTCTATCCACGAAAACACATGTATTGTGTCCACAGAACACGAATGTATCCTGTCCGCCCTAAACAATATCAACTTATTATTATTCCACCAAATGCATTTGAACACATCAACATTCTTTCCGATCATTATATTACACTGTACCTGTGTTCTGTCCACACTTCACTCCCACATTAGTATTCGGTCGGCATAAAACACATGACCACCTTAAATTTAAATATAAGTGGGAGGAGTTGGTTCTTGTTCAATTAGACTGGGAACCTATATTTGACAAGTCACTTTAGACTACTTTAGATACCAAGTTCAGATGGATTCAGTTCAGAATTATTCACAGAAGTTTATCAACTAACTCATTTTTATTTAAAATTAAATTAACTGATGGTAATTTATGTTCTTTTTGTGAATTTGAATTTGAAACAATAACCCTCTTATTTTGGTAGTGTAAACAAGTTCAATGGTTTTGGCAATCACTATTAAGCCTACTTTATGAAAAGTGCCCACATATCCATAATTTGAAATTTGACCTTCAACTTATTCTGTTTGGTCTGGAAAGGAAAATATATATACTGATGATGTGTTTGACCTACTGTTGCTTTTAGCTAAATTCTACATCTATAAATGTACAGTTTTGAAAACAACCCTAATTGTTAATCACTTTAAACATTACATTCACAGCAGGTAGATCATTAAAATAAATATTGCTTATAGCCAAAGCCAATATGCTAAGCTCTATACAAAGTGGGTGTTTTACTATGGACTAGCTTATGTAGATATGTCGATTTCTGAAACTCAGTGATCTTGATTTAATGAGTACAACCATTCTTGACAACTGAAATTTATCTTTCTAGGTGCCTATGTTAAACCTTTTTGTGGTTTAGTGAAGAGTGTAAGTGAATCTGAGTGTAAATGAGTGTCTTTGTCAGAGTTAATTTTTTTTTTAATATTTGAGTCCATGACCTTAATTTAAACCTCAGTAACAAAACCAATATGTATAACAATTGCCTTTTCAACTCTGGTATAATCTTGCTTGTTTCTTTTAAAGATGATCCAAGATGATTTCTTTCCTTACATGATCCAGCCCAGCACTACCCTGCTTATCTGGTTCTACATGTAACAGGGACTCAGAAATAAAATATTAATTACAAAAGAATAAATAAATAAAACAAATCAACAAAATTAAAACATCTGAATTCTGTCCTTCCAATACGCATATATATCCTGTCCATCAGACACATGTGTATCCTGTCCAACACACGTGTATTCTGACCATGAACAAAACACAGCTGTATTCTGTCCACGCAAAAAACATTCCTTCACAAGAAATAACATAAGCCTATACACCTCATACATCTGTAGTCTATGCGCGTAACACAACTGCTGTGTGTTCATTTAATACACATCTATTCAGTACATAGACCACACCTTCGTTCTAGTCATCTAGCACACTTTTTCCATGTTCACATAACACAGGTATTACAGCACTCCTGCATTCTGTCTATCTAAAACGCTTATGTTCAATGCATCCAACAAGCCCATATTCAGTCGAAATGATCTGTCGTATTCATATTCAGATCACATACCCATTTTATGTCCACCGTGTATTCTATTCACATAACATAATTGTATTATTTTAATATCTACAAGTCTATATTATATTGCAGTAACACATCATTCTTCCGTCGACACAACACACTTGTAATAGCGCCTATATTCTGTCTACATCATATGCCTCGTACATGTGCACCACATAGGCGGATCCAGAAAGTTTCAGGGGGTGGGTGGGGGTGGGGTTTGGGTTGTCAAACCCCTGAACCCCACCTTGGCTCCGCCATTGCAATACATTAACTTCGATCTGGTCTTTAGTCATTTTCAAAAGGGTGGTGGTTCGAACCCCTGGAACCCCCCACCCCCCCCCCCCATCCCTCTGGATCTGCCACTGCACCATATTCAAGCTGACTTGTGCATATAAACAATGTAATTGTTCACGTTATCATAATGCACATTCATAATCTTTGTAATATTTATCAATCCCTACCGCAAACAGATGTTGGACGTGCTCATTACATAATGTCCTGTAATGTTCTGAATAAATGTGGTTTGGTGAAAGGCTGATCAAATGATGTTATGCACGATGGAATGAACTGGCAACACTCACGTATCAGAAAATACTACTTCCGCCTAATGGCTAGTATAAAGTTATGAGAACGAGGCAAGCGGAAGTAATCAAATATTGATAACCGTAGAACTCTCATGGCCTTGAGTGCGACTGAATTGATTCCAAAATGAATAAACCTCATGTTGGTAGAAATGAGTGATGGACATCTACACACAACAAGAGATAGTTATTTCATTTGCGTTACGCCAGAGTAATTCATATTAGTAGTGAGATAGAGACAGAAACCTATTATTAAAGTATGGCACATGATGTAGCCCTCCTGCTCTTTATTATCATTGTAGATATGCACTGTGCTCCCGCCTGTTGGACCAAAATACGCAATACATCAAATAACCTTGGTCGCCTAGGAATAAAAAATACTGCGGTGGTAATATCAAGAAACCAAATAGCAATACCCCTACTTTTATGTATCTAAATACCAAATAGTAATACCCCTTGACTTATATGGACGCTCTGGAAACCTATAGCAATACCTCTTTACTGATATGGACCCTCTGGAAACCTATAGCAATACCTCTTTACTTATATGGACGCTCTGGAAACCTATAGCAATACCTCTTTACTCATGTGGACGCTCTGGAAACCTATAGCAATACCTCTTTACTTATATAGACGCTCTGGAAACCTATAGCAATACCTATTTACTTATATGGACGCTCTGGAAACCTATAGCAATACCTCTTTACTTATATAGACGCTCTGGAAACCTACAGCAATACCTCTTTACTTATATAGACGCTCTGGAAACCTATAGCAATACCTCTTTACTTATATGGACTCTCTGGAAACCTATAGCAATACCTCTTTACTTATATAGACGCTCTGGAAACCTACAGCAATACCTCTTTACTTATATAGACGCTCTGGAAACCTATAGCAATACCTCTTTACTTATATGGACTCTCTGGAAACCTATAGCAATACCTCTTTACTGATATGGACGCTCTGGAAACCTATAGCAATACCTCTTTACTTATATGGACTCTCTGGAAACCTATAGCAATACCTCTTTACTTATATAGACGCTCTGGAAACCTATAGCAATAGCCCTTTACTTATATGGACGCTCTGGAAACCTATAGCAATACCTCTTTACTTATATAGACGCTCTGGAAACCTATAGCAATACCTCTTTACTTATATGGACTCTCTGGAAACCTATAGCAATACCTCTTTACTCATATGGACGCTCTGGAAATACCATTTTTCTTATATGAACGCTCTGGAAACCTATAGCAATACCCCTTTACTTATATGGACGCTCTGGAAACCTATAGCAATACCTCTTTACTTATATAGACGCTCTGGAAACCTATAGCAATACCTCTTTACTTATATAGACGCTCTGGAAACCTATAGCAATACCCCTTTACTTATATGGACGCTCTGGAAACCTATAGCAATACCTCTTTACTTATATAGACGCTCTGGAAACCTATAGCAATACCCCTTTACTTATATGGACGCTCTGGAAACCTATAGCAATACCTCTTTACTTATATAGACGCTCTGGAAACCTATAGCAATACCTCTTTACTTATACGGACTCTCTGGAAACCTATAGCAATACCTCTTTACTCATATGGACGCTCTGGAAACCTATAGCAATACCTCTTTACTTATACGGACTCTCTGGAAACCTATAGCAATACCTCTTTACTCATATGGACGCTCTGGAAACCTATAGCAATACCTCTTTACTCATATGGACGCTCTGGAAACCTATAGCAATACCTCTTTACTTATATGGACGCTCTGGAAACCTATAGCAATACCTCTTTACTTATATGGACGCTCTGGAAACCTATAGCAATACCTCTTTACTTATATAGACGCTATGGAAACCTATAGCAATACCTCTTTACTTATATGGACTCTCTGGAAACCTATAGCAATACCTCTTTACTTATATAGACGCTGTGGAAACCTATAGCAATACCCCTTTACTTATATGGACGCTTTGGAAACCTATAGCAATACCTCTTTTCTTATATAGACGCTCTGGAAACCTATAGCAATACCTCTTTACTTATACGGACTCTCTGGAAACCTATAGCAATACCTCTTTACTCATATGGACGCTCTGGAAACCTATAGCAATACCTCTTTACTTATACGGACTCTCTGGAAACCTATAGCAATACCTCTTTACTCATATGGACGCTCTGGAAACCTATAGCAATACCTCTTTACTCATATGGACGCTCTGGAAACCTAT